TCAGTGGCACAGTGCCTCCCTGGCTAGTGCAAGGTCCTGAGTTCGATTCCCGGTACCAAAAAAAAACAAATTATTTGTATGGGGAACATATCACTTATTTTGAAAATGGTTTGCCCAACTAGAACATTATTTTTCTTAAATTGTACATTTATTAAAGTGGCATGGCAATAAGAGGCAAATAAAAAGCAGCTCAGCAGGCTGCCCATATTATCACTGCCTCTGATGGGTAGTTTCAGGAAGTGGAGACTCACAGAATCATATACAGCCTCTGAGAGTCCCACTCGAGTCCCAGAGCCCAGGTAGCAAAGATGTTTTCAGATAAATCAGTGTGCAATCTGAAACGGATTTCATCAGTCATGACCCACAAATCTGCAAGAAATTGCTCTGTCGTACAGTTCTGAGGGAACCAATTCCCAGGAAGTCCCAGGTGTCAGGACCATCTCGGAAGTAAATATTCCCTTTCAGTGTTTCAGTGTGTTCGCTTGCACTCTGAGATGTCCTAGAAGAAGCGTAACCTTTTGGTTCTCTTTAATCTAGGCCAAGGCTGCTGGTGACGACGAGGCCATGTTCATAGATGAAAACTTCTGCACTGCCCTGGAGTATGGGCTGCCTCCCACGGCCGGCTGGGGCATGGGCATTGACCGCATCGCCATGTTCCTCACAGACTCCAACAACATCAAGGTACACGGTGCCCCGGCATGGAGCTCCACTGTGTTGGAGGTGGGGCGTGGTGGGCCTAGAGAATAAAGCAAGAACGTTGTGCTACGGGAGGACTGGGCAGGGGAGCTCATGCCAGACTTGGAACTTCTGACCATATTGGGTTTTAATCTTTTTCTAACACAGGAACAATGCTATTTGCATTTCTTTTTTTTTTTTTTTTTTGGTTTTTCTCCGGTACTGGGAACCGAACTCATGACCTTGCGCTTGCCAGGCAGGCGCTTTTGCCACTGAGCTAAATCCCCAACCCCGCTATTTGCATTTCTTGAGGATTCTGGGAAGTGCCAAGCCCTCTGGCTACATGAGGTCTTTTAATTTCAGTCAGCCTGTGAGGTGTAGAAATTGTTGTTACCCTGTTATAGAGGAAGAAATCTGATTTCTTCTAAATAGAGCCTGTGTTTAATCATTCTTTTGGCCTGGCACCCCTAGGCAGTGCTGTACGTTGGCTTCCTTTTATCCTGTTACTATGAGAGACCAAGTTGAAATAAAAGAACATACCTATCTTTTCATCTGGGGTATGTAGACAGATCTTTTGGTTTGGGTAGGAACAATAGGCAAAAGCAACAGGTAGATCACGGTAGAAACTGTTCAGAGTACTTCTTGGCTTCAAAATGCATTTTGTATGTCCTGTAGGAAGTACTCCTATTTCCTGCCATGAAGCCAGAAGACAAGAAGGAGACTGTCGCAAGCACTGACAGTGTGGAAAGCACAATGACTGGCACTTCTGTCTAGAAAATAATTCCAACTTGTATAACTCAGGCATCTGCATCTTTGCAAAAAGATCAAGTCTGTGAAGGGATTGTGTGTGGTCATCCATTTGACCGCCATGATTCAGTTCAGCCACCAGAAGAGAGAAGAGGAATTAAGAATTTCCTTTTACTCCTTGTTACCAAATAAACCATTTGTCTCTTTACCTGTGGATATCAGCTTTTTTTCCAGACTGCTGGCCTAATGAGTGTTTAGGATTTTACCCTCTTCTTTAACAAATTGATACTAATGTCTGCTCGGTGCTGGGTGTTCTAAGGAGTGAGACACAGTCGTGGACAAATCAAAGTCCCTGCCTTTATGGAACTTACATTCTTTCTTTGGGGTGTAGAGAGAAATAAACAAGAAACAAACACGTAAGTATGTATCCTCTGGTGGTGGTGTACACCAAGAAGAAAAGTACCCTAGGGCAAGGAGAAGGTGCTGCTGTAATGGTGGGGCGGTGGCATTTCAAAATAAGACCACCTCTGCTACATGACATTTAAGCAGGGATCTGGCGACAGTGCGCCAGGGCCGTGTGTGGGAAAGGGCTTTGACTAAAGGGCCACATTTTTGAGGAGCAACAGAGGGTGTGCTGAAGGGTGGGTGAAGGTCAGGGAGGCGCCACACAAGCTCTTGGTGGTCACAGAAGGTTCGTTAAGAGTCCCATGGGAGGCTGTTGGGGAGTGGTTCCCATCAGTATGTGAGGGGTAACTATGAGCAGGGAGACCAGATGGGCTGCAGCAGTGCAGGGATGGCAGTGGGAACGGTTAGAGTGGTTGTGTTTTGCCTAAGTTCCTCAGGGCAACAGAATCTGCTGATGGCATGTTTCCTGAGACAAAGAGAAGTCAAAGATGATTTCAAGGTGTGGAAAAAAAAAAAAAAACCTGGTAGAGTTGCCATTCACTGAGGGGAATAACTGAGGGTATGTACTTGAGGGGAAGAGCTAAGTTTGACTTTGGGCATCCATGTAGTATGGGCACACTGCAGTATGGGCAGTATGGATTACAGTGGAGCCCCTTTTCCCTGGCATGAAGCAGCTGGGGAAAAACAGTCATTCAGTGAAGCACTTATCATTTGCACCTCAGCAAAACTTCTGCAAGTCCCAGTTGGGGAGTTGCTAGTCTGTTTTCACAGAGCAGGTTTGTACTGTAGCTGGTAAAATGAGCTAAGTGTGCAGAATTACCTAAATGGGAACTACTTCAAGCTAAGTGTGCAGAATTACCTAAATGGGAACTGTCACACCTCTGCTGGTGTTTAAGCAGTAGATGACCGGGTGGTCTTTCAGAAAAAAACACTACCAAAAATATGGCACATCCTCAGCAAGATGGTATTGACTAAGATGGCGGAGATCTGCTCAAGGCAGAGGGTGGGAGTCAAGTTCAGCCAGAAAAGGGACTGGATTTCAGGCAACTTTGGCAATGAGAGCCACTGGAGAAAGCTGTAAGGAAGGTGACATCCTAAATGACATAGGATTGTTAAGAAGGGTGGAGGCAGAAGCCAGCTGTCTGACCTTAAGGAGGCTGGGAAACTAGCAGCAGGAGACAAACTTGCATGTGGGATTTGGAAGGAAAACCAACAGGATAAAAGCTAGAAGGGATAGAAGGATCGTAATGTCCTTGTTACATCATGAAACAGTTGAAGAGTTGTAGATCACCATCTTATGTTGGTTTGAGGGTTTTGGTTTTTTTTTTAGTTTTTTTGAGACAGTCTCAATCCTTGAACTCACTATATAGTCAAGGCTGGCCTTGAACTCACAGCAATTCTGCCTCAGCCTCCCCAGTGCTGAGATTACAGGCATGGACCACCACACCCAGCCAATCACCAACTTCTGTATTGGATTGGCCTTCAAGCTTCTAGATGAGTAGGAAAAAATAATAAATCACCCCCAAAATTGTATAAAATAGCTCCAGTAAATGCTTTGAGGAAAGGTGTCTATGGGGTATTGAAAAGGTATGACAGACCTAATTTACCTGAGGACATTGTATCTGTGACGTGAAGAAAGGGCTTTTCCATGGCACACAAGCAAGCACAATGGTGGTCCAGTGATAGAAAGGAGCATGAAAGAGCCAGTGTACTGGATAAAGACTAGAGAACCTCTAAGAAGTGTGGTATCCAGTGAAGCAGGAAAAGATGCTCGTGTTGGGCTGAGCCTTACTGTGGTTTTTTTTTCCTTTCCTTTAAATTAGGAGCTGGGAAATACAAAGTATTCAAGAAAGAGGGTGCTATCACATTTGGGATTTGAAAAGATCAGTCTGGCTACTCTGGAGGAAATGAATTGGGGTTAGGCAAAGAAAAGGGGAAAGTTCGTTCCAGCGTTAGTGTGGCAATCAATCTAAAAGGAAGATGTTAGCTTGAACTAAAGTGTGGAAGTAGCCATTATAGGTTCCAGAGATAGGAAGTAAGATCAACAGAACTCAGGAAAAGTACTGTGTGTGTTAAGGGAAGGGAAATGGCAGTCCCTGAGGTAGAGTACAGCAAGATGAACCCTACCACCACCACAAAGGGTGTTTAACGACCGAACGGGGAGACAGCTGCTGATTTAAAATGGTGGAGAAAGGAATAAAGACCAGCGTTGTTAGCCTTGCAGGAGGCTTCCTTTGAACTAGAGAAGGGGTCAAGCAAGGTGCAATTCCGCCCTTTTAACTTTCGAGGGGTAACAAAAACAAATGAGTTCCCTCACCTTCAGCAACTGTATATAACTGCTGGGTGACAAAGGCTCCTGCATTACCCATATGGCAAAATATCACGAGGCATACTGAAGGCTTTACACCTGCACCGCGCGCTGCAGTGGCCACTGGCCACACGTGTGCAGCTACTGACAACTGAAATGCGGCTAATCCGAAGTGAGATGTACCCAGCAGATTTACTGAAACTTTCTAAGAAAACCTGACGTGGGATTAAAATTAATTTCACTTCTTTTGACTTTTTAATTGTGGCTACTCGACGAAATTAAAGAACATACATGGCTTGAATTATATTTCTATCGGACAGCGCCATTTTAGACAAAAATTCAGACTAGAGTTCCCAGATAGACTCCTCGTATTTGAAATGATAGCACGGGAGCAAGTGGCTCCCGACAGTCTGTTTCCCGCGTCCCTAAACACGCAGTCCAATCAGAGTCCGGGAACCGTAAAAGCCGGCCTTGTATCGCGGGTCTGGCCCCGTCCCCCGCCAAGAACTGCAGGGACCAGCGTGCACCGCGTGGCAGTGCCGTCGCACCCGGAAGGAGTCGTCCCCGTGACGTCACATCCGCCGCGCCGCCGAGGTTGACCCGCATCTTCCGGGCGCGCGCTTTGGAGACGGAGGCGGTGCGTCTGCAATTCGAGGGTGTGGGTCCCGGGTCCCAGGTTTGAGGGGGCGCTAGGTGCCTCGAGTCTGGCGCTGGTGAGCCAGTTTTGTGTGGAAAGAAGTGAGAACTGTCCCTTCCAGACACGTGTCACTTGGAAAGTGCGGTTCCCAGCCTGGATCTGTCAGCTGCCCCCGCGTGAAGAGCTCTTACGGCAGCTACCGCGGCGATGCCGCGTGACCCAGTGAGTCAGCCGCTCCCGTGGTCCCCACTTCGCGGCCACGGGGTCTTGCCTGGTGACTGCCGTACGATGGAGTCCCCAGGGTATTAGGAAGGGAACCAAAGAAAAGGCCTCCCCACCCTCGCGCACTGCCAAAGCCTTTCCTCCTTGGCAGCCGGTTTTTTTAAAAAAGGAAGTAGGTTCTTCAGCTTGTAACTGTTACAAGATGCGATGCTGGGAGTATAGAAATGCCTGCTTTAAGCGCCTGCCTGTCAAGCGCAAGGTCATGAGTTCGATCCCCGGTACAGAAAAAAAAAAGAAAAGAAAGAAAGAAATGCCTGCTTAACGGAGCAGTTGCTTATGAAGGAGTTCAAGACCTGGGAAGGAGTGTAGGCTTGGATTGTAATGAACCCAGAATATCGAAACTTTTATTCATTTCAACAACTGCGTATGCTATGAGAGGATGTATCCCGGGCTGCTTTGCTTTAAAGAATCATTTCTTCTGGCAAGTTCAGCCTTCCTTGATTATTACAATTTGTAATGTAGCCCTCCACTTTAATGTCGAGTTGATGGCGCTGTATCCACCTTCATAAAGGGCTTTGTAATGGAACCGTGGAAGTTACTAGGGAGACCTTTCTAAAAGATGAATTGTAGAATTTCCCATGTTTTTCTTTGCTCCTAGAGATACAAGACTACTGGCACTGTCAGTTGTGCCGGGCGTGGTGGCGCACGCCTGTAATCCCAGCACTAGGGAGGCTGAGGCAGGAGGATCGTTGTGAGTTCAAGACCAGCCTGGGCTACAAAGTGAACTCAAGGCCAGCCTGAACTGCATATGAAGACCCTGTCTCAAAAAGACCAAAAAAAAAAAAAAAAAAAAAAAAAACCAGTTTCTGTCAGTTCATGCCAGATTTTTATCTTAAATCTTTCTGATTAACCATTACCATTTACCACACTTAACAAGCCTGTGCCGTGTGCAGTCCTTAGCATCTGATTGTGGAAACATCTTTCAGAAGCTATGTGCATAGCGGCTCAGCGAAACTTTCTTTCAGTTTTGCAAGTGTTGAAATACGATCTCATCTATTAAAATGTTTTTTATATGCTTGAGTCCAATTGAAGTGAGGCTATATTCAGGGGGCATTGCTAGAACCAAGGATGGGAGGATTTCCCACAAAGTATACCTAGCCTCTTTCAAGTCTGATCTCTGTAATGTTTTTTGTGGCGGGGGGGCGGGGCGGGCGAAGGGAGGCAGTGTTTGTTTGGTTTTTTGGGGTTTTTTGTTTTTTGTTTTGAGACAAGGTCTTGGGCTGGGGATTTAGCTCAGTGTCATAAGTGCCTACGTGGTAAGTTCAGGGTCCTAAGTTCAATTCTGGTACCAAAAAAAAAAAAAAAAAAAAAAAAAACCAGACAGAGTCTTGCTATGCAGTTCACACTGGTTCTGTAATGAATTTTTACTCATGGCTTTATGTGCCCATTAGAGTCTTTCTTTGTCCAATCACCACCAGATTACCAGGGATAATCATCAATTTTTTAAAATATCAGTCAGGGTTGGCATTAATTGCTCAACATTATAGCAGTTACTTTGGGGGGGGTACTGGAATTGAACCCAGGACACTTGGCACTGAGCTACATTCCCAGTCTTTTTTTTTTTTTTTTTTTAATTTTGATACAGGGTCTTATTAGATATTGCTCAGGGTGGTTTTGAACCTCCTGCCTCACCCACAGTGTGGTATTACACATGTGTGCCATCATACCAGCCTGTAACAATTACTTTTATAAATATCTATAACCCAAATAAGTTAGATTCCATTATCCCTATTTTAACAAATGAGGAAAATGAGACACATATTTTAATTTGTGACATAGAATTAGCATTCACAAAGGGCAACTTCAAAGCCCACACCCTTCAGCACAACTGTAAGGATGAATCTTGACTGGTAAGAAACCTCTCAATAGTGATTTACCAGAGGGAGTTAGAGATTGACTATTCTGTAGAGAAGAAATGAGAAAGGTATGTCCTTATTGCTTCTCAGCCTTTTGGCTAAGATCAAGTGAGAAAGATACATCCTTAAACAGAGGATGGAAAAGAACATCTGTCCAGAAAGAAATCTTGTATGATGATCTGCCATATGCTTTTGAGTTGAGTAGTAGATTCGGATTCATTAGGTATGTGTCAGACACCTGACATTAAAAACAAAAAGCTTGAAGAAATAAGGTATCCAAAAAAAAAAAGGTGTCTTCTGGGATTGATGGGATTTGCAACTTCTTTAATCTTTCATTACAGATAAAAATGAAAGCCAGGTATGGTGATGCATGGCTGTAATCCCAGTGCTCTGGGAGCCTGAGGCAGGAAGATGCCAATTTGAGCCCATACTAGACAACTTAGCAACGTAGCAAGATCCTATCTTAAAAAATTAGAAAGGGTTAGGGATATACCTCAGTGTGAAGGCCCTGGGTTCATTCCCCAACACCACACACAGCACACGCACGCATGCACGCATTTATGCACACAATGAAAAGAGGGCAGGGAGGTAGAAAAGAACTAGAGTTGCAGATGGAAGATCTTCAGTCTCAACACAGATAGACTGGATAGAAAGATTGAAGAACTGTTGTGAGGCTGTAGCACCTTGCACAGGTTCTCCTTTCTGCACTTCTGATGGTTGTGGCTTTCCATCAGGGCCTCTACTTCAGCTCGGACCATGTGGACCGCAGATGAGATTGCTCAACTGTGCTATGAACACTATAGGATCAGGCTGCCCAAGCAGGGGAAACCTGAGCCAAACCGAGAATGGACTTTATTGGCGGCCGTAGTGAAGATCCAGCCTTCACCTGACCAAGACTGTGACACTCCTGATAAGCCAGCGCAAGGTGAGACCTTTTCTCCCCATGTCATAATTACACAGGGCTATTCAGGGGCAGTCATGGGCAGGGTGTGAACTAAGATGTTAGGCGTGTTTCCCGTATCTCCACCAGGTGGCGCAGTGCTTCCGGTGGTGGGAGACCACCCCGCTGAGACTGCCGTCCTGGCTGAGTCAGGCTGTGAGAATCCTGTGGAGAATCCTCCAGACTTGCTAAACCTGAGCACTGGAGAACATTTAGTGAGAGCTCACTTACTGATTTGTTTTTTCCTCTCAGTGACAAAGGAAGTTGTCTCAATGGGAACAGGAACGAAATGCATAGGCCAGTCCAAAATGAGGAAGAGCGGTAAGCGTGGGTGAGAATCTATGTAAAGAATTGTGTGGGAGCTTTGGAAACCAGTGACCTTGTCAGGGGAAGGGAGCCTCAGCAGTTGGTGTGACTGGCCTTTCGTTTCCTACTGACTCTTGCTCCCCTTGGAAGCCAGTCGTACTCATTTAAAGAATGGAAATCTGCCATTGAAGCAAAAGCCACTGGGAGCGTGCTGAGTGAACTAAAAGCCAGTTAGTTTTCATGCTCAGACCACAGGTTCCCTGGGTTTAGCTGTTCCATGCTGTGTCTAAAAGGCCTTATAGCTTTGGAAAATGTAGAAGATGCAGCTCAAGTGGTTTCTGACACCCAGAAAGTTAGCTTAAATTACACGGAACTTTGGACATCAATAAGAATGTGAAATATGACCCCTTAGAAGTCTGGGGTCTTTACCTTCCTCTTCCGGTTAGCAGATCCTCTTTGAGTTTGCTTCCTGCATTCTCCTAGTCCTGCCTCCTATGTGATGGAGCTGTTCCAAGACCACTGCAGTGGATTAGATGGATGTGTCTCACCATGAACACAAGTATGGTACCAGGATAAAGACTTTGTATAAATCAGTGGTTCTCAGCTAGGGGCAGTGTGGCACCCCAGAGGATATTTGGCAATGTGTAGAAATGTTTTTGGTTGTCACATCTAGGAGAAGGGTGCTCCTGACCTCTCACAGGTATGCTAGGAGTGATGCTGAACATCCTGCATAGCACAGGCTAGACCCCCGCAACAAAGAATTTTCTGGTACAAAATGTTTACCGTGCTAGGTTGAGAAACCCTGCTATTAATGCAGCACTGTTAATGATTTTGGTATTTTCTGCCAAAGCTCTTAAGTAGCAGGTGGCCATACTGAGCACTAGAGTACTACTGTATGCTGTACTTGGGGCCTCTCCATGTTTCATATTTCTTTACTTAGTGTCATTTCTTTGCCACAGGAGATGTCCTCAATGACAGCCATGCTGAAGTCATAGCCAGAAGGAGTTTCCAAAGGTAAAACCACAACTCCAGAGCACCTGATTGAGCAGATCTGGGTAGGGCCCCAATATTTGCATGTGTAAGAAGCTATGTGTAGAGATTATCAGTGTGAACTACTGGGGTCTAGACTGGTGGTGCTCATTACAGCCTTCCCCAGAGATTCAGCAGATCCAAGGTGGAGCCTAAGAAATTGCCTAATTCCCAGGTGCTGCTGATGCTCTGGTGTAGGCACCACACTTTGAAAATCTCTGGGCTAATTATTCTAGTTCCACATCACTACCAGTCTCCTTGATCAGTAGTAATTCTCTTTCAGTAATCATCCAAGCAGAGTCTTTCTGTGTACTAGAGAAATTGGTTTATTCTAATAATGTCTTATCACTCATAGGTACCTTTGCCATCAGCTCCAATTGGCAGCCACTCTAAAGGAAGATAGTATCTTTGTCCCGGGAACTCAGAGAGGGCAGTGGAAGCTCAGACCAGGTGTCTTTTTTGTGTTTTTCTCCAGCCATACACCCTGTAAGTATATTCAAGCCTTTCGATTCTTGTCATATTGCCTCCTTTATGTTTGTTTCATTGGTTGGTTGGTTGGCTTTTTGAGAGAGGGTCTATATAGTTCAAACTGGCCTTGAACTCACTATGTAGCCTAACCTGGCCTTGGATTCATGGCCTCAGCCACCCAATTCTCACCTCAGCCATCCAGGTGCTGCGATTACAGACCCATGTCCAGCCTTTATGTTTGTTTTATCCATAGAGAATTTTTTTTTAAGTATTTCTGTTGAAGTATAGCTATAGCTTTTTTATATGCCTTTTTATGTCTCTAATCACCTCTCCAATATGGGGAAGGCAAGGCAGAAGTAGGGTGGTGTGGAGCCTCACTCATACTGTTAGTTCTCAGAATCAGATTGGGAAGTCTAATATTTAAATCCACAAGGTGTGAAGCTAACAATGAGATTTAGAAGGACAAAGTCCTGCTATAGTCACCTTTCCTAAAATTCAATTCATTCCTTCACTGAAAAAATACTTTCTACTAGTCAGACGCAGTACAGCATGCTGAATATATAGCAGTGAATAAGACCTGGCACATTGCTTTCCCTAAAAGAGTCTTTTAGGGAATGTAGAGAATCCTGGTTAATTCAGTACATTTTGATGAGTTATTAAGAGATATTCAAGAGCTCTCGTTTCGTAAGGTAAGACCAGACCTAACTCAGAGGGAATCATTTCTGTCCTGTTTTTTTTTTCTTTATCAAAACTAAAAGTAATTCCTGTCTTTCATAGGCAACAACTCAGGGATGGCAGTAAAATTTTCGCACCTTTAAAACTTTGTCGTAAGGATACGATTGTTCTGCATGTGAAGTTCTGCATTTCTACCAGCTCCCAGGGAATGCCCGTGGTACTAGTCAGTGGACCGCTCTTTGCGTAGAAAGGGCTGGGGTGATCCCAGGGTAACAGCTTGATAGCCTAGTCAAACTACATAAACGCATGGCGTCTGAATATACCAGTCAGTAAGAGTCTACAGCAAAACAAAAATCAAGACTATGTAGCGAGTTTTTCAAAAAGCAATTCTGCCAGGAGTAATGGTGCACATCTGTGACCCTAGCCCTTGAGGCTAAAGCAGGAAGATCCCTGTGAATTTGAGGAGCCTGGGCTGCATAGTGAGACCCTGCCTCAGAAAAAAAAAATTTTTCTTTCAATGTAAAATTACAAGAGCTGGGTGTGGTGGTACACACCCGTAATCCCAGCACCCTGTAAGGCTGAAGCAGGAGGATCGTAAATTCACACCCAGCCTGGGGAATTTAGGGAAACCCTTTTTAAAATAAAAAGAGGCTGGGGATGTAGCTCAGTGTGAAAGCCCTGGATTTAATCTCCAGTACTGAAAAAAATAATTCCTTTCATTTTCTTTTTTTTACAGTGCTGGTAATTGGCATTTTTAAAGGTCTTACTTTTTTTTTAAATTTTATTTTAAAGGTAAAAGACAAGAAACAAAATAACAAGAACAAAGACAAAAACAAAACAACACAAAAACAATAAAAATGATACAGAATTTCAAAAACAAAATGATAGGAAATTAACAATGGTTGTTGTATTACATATTGCTACCTTCAAAGTAGTTTTCAGATTAACAGATACAGCCATACAAGACTGATCAGACAACTAAACATTAACTATTCCTCTCAATAAGCCAACAGAAACTAATAGTATAATTATGTTCTGTTTTGTTTTTGAGACAGGGTTTCACTATGCAGTTCAGGCTGGCCTTGAACTCGCTGGGATTATAGGTGTGCACCACCACACCCAGTTTAAAGGTTTTACTTGATGCAGTTAAGAAGTTGGTAGCCCTATATTGATGTTAAAAACTGGAAATTTTGTTGGGCTGTGAAATAAAAATTCACAACAACTGATCTAAGTTCCTCAAGCTCTTGAGTAATCCTTTAAAATGTGACGTCCAAAAAAATAAATTGTGATGCCCCCTAATGATTTCTTTGCAGGAAAAAAGCACATTACCTGGATGTGACTCTCGGGCTCCCTTGGCGTTTACCTCATGTCACTAATTAATCACCTGGTGCCTTGATTAGCTACTCAGACTCTTTCTCATGAGTTTTATTAGCATGAGTCAGCCTCCTAAATTCAGACATTCTGTCAGGATCAAATCTGCGAGCCTACAGAGTGGGCGGTGGACATCAGAGAATTCTCCAAAGTCACTGTCACCTTGTGAGGTCTCTAAAAGCCAGCCCGCCTCCCTGGCAGCGCTCCCACTCCTACATCTTTTGCCTTTCCCATCCGTAGGGTATAAAGAGTACAGATGTATTATTTACACACTTTGAAAAAGCAGCACACATGAGGTTATTGTTAGAAGAAATAGCTTCTTCCTCAAGGGAGACTGTGGTTTTTCTTGATCTCTGGTTTTCTTAGGTTCCTTTCGAGCACAGAGTAGATGAGAAATCTCTAAACCAGCCTAGGAAACACTGGAAGTTTTGAGGAACTGATTCAGGCCAGGTTGTGTAAGTAACTGTAGAATCTTTACTATGGTTCTATGCACCATAAAATCTCCAAGATGGGGACATTTTGAGCAGTGTGTGCCAAATTTATGTAACCGTGAATGTATCACCTGCTTTTTGCTTTTATTTTCTGGGTATTCAATAGGATAGCGCTCCACAAAGTGTGTTGGGGAAACCTCATTCTAAACCTGTGGTTCTCAGCTCAACAGTTTTGGTCCCCAGAGGATATTTGGCAACATCAGGATACACCTTTAGTTGTCAGGCTTGGGGCTAGTGGTGTCTAGTGGACAGTAGCAATGCTGCTAAGTATCCTTTAATGTACAGGACAGTCCCACAGCAGAGAATTATCTGGTCCAGAAATACCCTTAATGTGGAGGTTGACAATCCCAGGACTAAACCAGTGTTTCCAAAACTTCCTTGTAATAAGGATTACCTGAGATCTTCGTTTGAATATTGTTTTCTAGCTGGGCATAGCGGTCTACACCTATAATCCTAGCACTCAGGAGACTGAGGCAGGAGGATCACCATGAGTTTGAGGCCAGTTTGGGCTACATAATGAGTTCAAGGCTAGCAAGACCCTATCCCAAAAAAACCAAAAATCCATATATAATATATATAGGTGTATATTATATATATGTATATGTGTGTGTATATGTGTGTATATGATATGTTATTTTTCATATCTGTCTCCTACAGAGATTTCAACTCACTGGGTCTAGGAGAAAGTCTTCAATAACAGCTCCCAGGAACTGATTATTTCTTTTCTTTTTTTTTTCTTTTTTTGGTCTTTTTGAGACAGGGCCTCACTGTGTAGTTCAGGCTGGCCTTGAGCTCACTTTGTAGCCAAGCCTGGCCTTGAACTCACAACAGTCCTCTTGCCTCAGCCTCCAGGGTGCTGGGATTACAGGGGTGTGCCACCACGCCCAGCTTCCTTTTTCTTTTTTTTGCAGTACTGGGGATTGAGACCAGGACCTCCCTATGGATTTATATTCTCAGTGTTTTGTTTTGTTTTGTTTTTGGAGACAGGATCTCACTATGTAGCCCAGGCTGACCTAGAACTCATGGTGTTCCTCCTACCTCACCCTCCAAGTGCTGGGATCACAGGTGTGCACCACCACGCCCAGCTTGACTAGTTCTTTTACTTTAGAGAGTCTAATATTTTAAATTCTTTATTTAGTCTAGGTATAAGTCCTCTATGTGAGGACTAACTGGCAAAATTCTTTTCCCATTCTGTAGCTTGTTTATTCACTCTGCGGATTGTTTCCATTGCTGTGCAGAAGTTTTTTAATTTGATATGATCCCACTTTTTGATTCTTGCTATTATTTCTTGTGCCTTAGGGTTCTGTTTAGAAAGTCCTTGCCTATGCCCATCTCTTCAAGAGTTTTATCTGTCTTCTTTTTTATTTTTTATTTTTGTCTTTTTGAGACAGGGTCTCGCTATGCAGTTCAGGCTGACCTTGAGCTCACTTTGTAGCACAGGCTGGCCTCGAACTCAATCCTCCTGCCTCAGCCTCCTGAGTGCTGGGATTTCAGGCATGGGCTACCACACCTGGCTTATCTGTCTTCCATCTGATTGTTTCTATTTAACATGTAGATGTGTGATCCATATTGATTTTAGTTTAGTACATGGTGAGATATATGGGTCTAGATTCAGTCTTCTACATGTAGGTAATCAGTTTTCCCAGTATCTCTATTAAAGAAGCTGTCTTTTCTCCAGTGTATTTTTCTGGCCCCTTGAATGTGCCTGAGGTTGTTTCCATGTCCTCTGTCCCATCGACCCACGTGTCTGTTTCTGTGCCCAGTACGATGCTGTCTTCATTACTGTAGCTTTGTACTATAGCTTCACATCCGTCATTGAGATTCTTCCCATTTTGTTCTTGTCGCCCAGGATTGCTTTTGATATTCTTTGTCTCTTTTGGTTCCGTATGAATTTTGGATTGCTTTCTCTAGCTTTGTGAGGAATGTTGTTTCTATTTTGATTGGGATTGAGTTAACCCTTTGTATCAGTTTTGGAAGTATGGCCATTTTGACTGTCGTGGTTCTAAGACAATGATTCATAAACCTGAACTTACATCAGAAGCACCTGGAGAGTTTATTAAAACAGACTCCCAGGCCCCACCCCCAGAGTTCGTGATTGAGCAGCTCTCCTGTGAGTCCCAATAATTTGCAGCATTTCTAACAAGCTCCTAGAGATGCTGATGTGGCTGGTCTGGGGGACTCACTTTGAGAACTGCTTGTTCGAGGGGTTCCTTCTCCGCAGGTGGGGATGCCTCCATCATCCCAATGCTTGGGTTTGAAGAGCAGCCTTGCTATCCTGCCAGCAGAGATTGGGTTACAAACTCACCTGTGGAAGCCAGTGGTAACCTGGAGATTCCTGAAAATAAAAGGAATTGTGAAGACCCTGACAGTCCCATAGCCAAAAAGATAAGGCTTGGGACTCCTGCCAGGTTGGGCACCAACGGAGCAGCTCTCCGTGACAGGCAAGGCAGTAACCCAGTCCCACCAGATGTGAGCAGCCCTACAGTCCCTACAGAGGAACTGGCTCCTGTCACTGGAACAGCCCCCTGTGGTGTGAAAGTGGTGGACGTGTATAGAACTGGAGCCAAGTGTGTGCCCGGAGAAGCTGGAGACCCTAGGAAGCCGGGTGCTGCATATCACCAGGTAGGGCTGCTCCGAGTGAAGCCAGGCCGGGGAGACAGGACTTGCTCCATGTCCTGCAGTGACAAGGTGGCCCGATGGAATGTTCTTGGATGCCAGGGCGCACTGTTGATGCATTTCCTGGAAGAGCCTGTCTACCTGTCTGCTGTGGTCATCGGGAAGTGCCCATACAGTCAGGAAGCCATGCACAGAGCGCTGATTGGGAGGTGAGAGGGCAGGGAGGGGGGCGTCCCCGAGTGTACAACAGAGCCTGAAAAGTCTGCATGCCTATGATCCCTCTAGGGATCTGCCTTAAAGAAATAACTGAGGGCCAGGGATACAGCCTAGCAGCACAGCGCTTGCCTGGCAAGTGCAAGGTCCTGAGTTCGATTCTTGGTACAAAAAAAAAGAAAAAGAAATAATTGAGAAAGTAATCAAATGTTTAATTTTGTGTATGGTAGTTTTTTTTTTTTTTTTTAAGAAACCTGAAATATTTAGCAGTGGGGAGTTAAGTGATTTCTTTTGTTTAAAATAATACTGATGAATATTTAATGTGGAAAGATGTTCATAATGTTTAAAGAGCTGTCCAGAAGATAAAGTAGGCTCCATGTTGACTTAAAGAATATGTGTACATAGAAAACTGGCAAGATGTACACCAGGGTATTAATAACGATGATCTCTGACTGTAGTATTGTGGGTACATTTTTCTTGTTATTACTATATTTCTAAATTTTTTTTTTTTTTTTTTTTTTTTTTTGAAACATTTTTTTTCTGGTACCAGGGATCTTTTTCTTTATTTTTTTTTTTTGTCTTTTTGAAACAGGGTTTCATTATGCAGTTCAGGCTGGCCTCCAAACTCACTTTGTAGCCCAGGTTGGCGTTGAACTCATAGCAATCCACCTGCCTCAGCCTCCTGAGTGCTGGGATTACAGGCATGTGCCACCACACCCAGCCTACACTTTTAATTTTTTTATAGTGTACTTATATTCCTATTATGATACACAGTGACCTTTAATGTACTTTTAATTTTTTAAAAAAGATAAAAAGACAAAGGTTGACCACATTTACAACCATTCAGATGTGGTCTCCCCAAAGGAGGCAGCCAAACTCAATCAATGCTGTAGTAGATGAGGAGGCGGCAGCCTGGGCTGTGTCACACATCCAGCCCCTGAAGCTGACTCCAAAAAGCAGACCCTGTGGATGACCCAGCTGTTCCACTCCTTAGTGCACACCCAGGAGAAGGAAAAGCATACATCCACACAAACCTTCATATACAAAGGTTAGTGGCAGTGAAGTGAGCCACGTATTGTACGATTTCGTGTATGTGAGATATCCCAGGGGCAAAGCTGTGCACACGGGTAGATGAGTGGACACCAGGGCTGGCGAAGGGGATGGAAGGCGACTGCTGCAGGCATGAAGGCTGTGGGACTTGAAGTCATGATCTGTGCAGTTTGTTGCCAGCATCACATTGGCATCTAGTTTATGTAAAAGATACAAGAGAAAATAAGCTTTTATATTGTGGGATATTTTTAGTTTCTGATGTGTTTGAAGCAATTTCCTAGACAGTAGGTACCAAAAGATTAATATTCCTACATAAAGTTTTCAAGTTTCTAGCTGAATGTGATGATACATGCCTGAAATTCCAGCATTCAGGATGCTGAAGCAGGAGGATTACAAATTGGAGGCCACCTTTGTACATGGCAAATTCAAGACCAGCCTGGTCTATATAGTGAGACCCTGCTTCAGACAAACAAAACAAAGCTGGGCGTGGTGATGCACACCTGTAATCCCAGCATTTGGGAGGCTGAGGAAGGAGGATCACCATGACTTCAGGGCCAACCTGGGCTACGTAGTGGAGGCCAGCCTGGGCTACATAGTGAGTTCAATGCCAGCCTGAACTACATAATGAGACCCTGTCTCCAAAAAACAAAAAGATCTATAAAAGGCTAGGGATGTAGCTCAGTGTGAAGGCCGTGGATTAAATCCCCAGTACCAAAAAAAAATTTTTTTAAATTTTTCAAACCCTGGGGGCTGGGGATTTAGCTCAGTGGCACAGTGCTCGCCTGCCAAGCATAAGGTCGTGAGTTTGATTCCCGGTACTGGAAAAAAAATAAAAAAACAAAAATAAATAAATTTTTCAAACCCTGTATCAGGAATTTATTTTGGAGGCTGGGAGTGTGGCTCAATGGTAGAATGACAGCCTTGAGAGGCAAGGCCTTGGACTCAATACCAGCAGTGCTCAAAAAAAAAAGGAATGAAGTTTGATGCTACTGACATCACTGATTAGTCGTCCCTTCAGAGCGATGGGGCGGGATCTTCCGCAGCCATGAGGCTCTTACTGTGTAGATTCTGTTCTGACACACTGTCCTGTGCCCACCTTGTACCCAAACAAGTAGATGCACATAGCTCCCAAGGCTTTGGCTCCCACTGTGACAGTGTGGCTCACAATCCTAGGTACACCTGTTCTCTAGTAAACCAAATGCATTTTCCTTCATATTCAGGTGTCAGAACATCTCAGCTTTACCCAAAGGCTTTGGAGTTAAAGAACTGAAAATTCAGCAGTCACGTTTACTGTTCGAACAGAGCCGCTGTGCAGTGCAGGCAAAAAGGGCTGATTGTCCCGGTCGCCTTGTTCCATGTGGGGCAGGTAAGGGGTGCAGGCTGGGCTTTCCCTGGAGAAACTTACTCCCTGGCAGAGTGTCCTGGCAGGGTCTGCATCCTCCCAGCCTAGGAAGGAAGCTCACCACTCCCCTGGTCAATTGTATGGGCTTTGAAGATAAAAGATTATACTCTGTGTGACCCTGAGCAGATCACTCTCTCCTGGCCTCCTTTCTTTCTCTTCAGATTAGAAAAATGTCAGTGACATTATAAATAATTGTAGTGATGATAACAAATTCATGAACCACTTTATACTATTCTGCCTTAGAGGCCAAGCATCAAAGTAGAGACCTTGTCTGACAACACATCCCACTCTCATGGGCCTGTAAAGAAATATTTTCATGAATATACGCTGGCATGTGCAAGAAATGGAAGTTTTAACCTCAGAACTCATCTCTTCACAGCAATCAGCTGGAGTGCAGTTCCTGAGCAGCCGCTGGATGTTACTGCCAATGGTTTTCCACAGGGAACGACGAGGAAAGGCATCGGAAGCCTTCAGGCCAGGTGCAGGGTACTGGGGCGGGTGATGGTAGCTGTGAATTTATACCTTCATCACCTAATTTCAGAACCTTTTCACTGCCCCGGAAAGAAAGCCATGCCTCCTAGCAGTTACTACCCTGCTGCTCCTTCCTACAGTGTAGGAGACTTCCATTCACCCTGCACTTTTTCTTAACCACATTTGTTACCGTCTGCTTCCCCCATACCACCCCAGTTCTCACTGTGTAGTCCAGGCTGGCCTCAAACTCTCAGTCCCCCTGCCTCAGCCTGCTGATTGCTGGGATTATAGGCATGTGCCCTACTCCTGGCACTTGTCTTTTAATTGTAGCCATTCTACTGAGTATGAAGTGGTATATCATTATGGGTTTGACTTGCATTTCTCCAGTGACTAATGGTGGTGAGCATCTTTTTATATATTTATTAGCTATTTGTATATCTTCGTTAGAGAAACAGCTGTTCTCAGTTCTTATCCATTTTAATGTTGAGTTATGAGTCTCCTTTACATGCTCTGGATTCTGGTCCTTTATCAGATACATGATTTCCAAATAGTTTTCTCCAGTTCTGTGTTTGCTTTTTTTTTTCTTTTTTTATAGTGTTCTTAAAGCACACAAGTTGTAAATTTTGATGAAGTCAAATTTACATACTATTCTCTTTGGTTTATTGTGGGTTTTGTGTCATTTTTTTTTCTTTTGTTTTGTTTTTTGTTTGTTTGTTTTTGTATTTTTGAGACAGGGTCTCACTGTTTAGTTCGGGCTGGCCTTGAATTCACAGTGATTCTCCTGCCTCCACAAGGGCTGGGATTACAGGTGTGCACCACCATGCCCAGCTTTAGTGTCATATTTTTTTATTAGCATGTTTGCAGTATATAATGCGTACATTCATCACACGGAGCTGGTATATGGGCGTAACACAAGTCATTTTATATCCCCCCTCCTTCCACCATCCCCCTTCTTCCAGGTTTTGGTATCATTTCAAAAACTATTAAGTAATTGAAGTTTTACTCAATGTTTTCTTCTAATAGTTTTATAGTGTTAGCCCTTAACATTTAGAACTTGGATCCATTTTGAGTTAATTTCCTGTGTGGCATGAGGTAGGGGGCTCAGTATGACCGTTGCATGTGGATATCCATTTGTCCTAGCACAAATGTTTGGAAAGTTTATTGTTTTCCTTGCGGATTTTTTTTTTTTTTTTAGACAGGTCTTGTTCTGTGGTTCAGGCTGGCCTTGAATTCACTATGTAGCTCAGGCTGGCCTCGAACCTGCAGTGATCCTCCTGTCTCAGCCTCCCTAGTGTGGGGATTATGGGCTTGTGCTACCACGCCCAGCTTGGGAATATTTTTTTAAAAATACTCTCTTGGGCTTTACCACTAGCAATGCTGGTTTTTTAGGTCAGGGTCAGCTAAGAATCAATTATGAAGCTTCACAGTGACTGGATTTTGCATGTTCAGGTTGGCTTTTGCTGAAGTACTAGGCCTGTGGGATGCTGAACTTGAGACTCATATTCCATCCCTGGATGTTCATGCAATTGTCTCTTTCAAGGTCCTGTCTCTTTCTAATGCTTGGCTTATTTCAGTGATACTTTTTCCTTTTTTCTTTTTTCTTTTTTTTGTCTTTTTGAGACATGGTCTCACTATGCAGGCTAGCCTTGAGCTCACTTTGTAGCCTAGGCTGGTCTCAAACTTGCAACGATCCTCCTGCCTCAGCCTCCTAAATGCTGGGGTTACAGGCATGTACCACCACACCCAGCTTTTCCATTTCTTAATTTTTTTTTTTTTTTTGGTACCAGGAATCAAAGTCAAGACCTTGCACTTGCTAGGCGGGCACTTGTGCCACTGAGCTATATCCCTGGCCCACTTTTTCCATTACTTTATCATGCCCTTATAAAAAGTTGTATTATACTTAAAGTACACAGAAGAATTCATTTCTGTTTCAGCATGCTTATTTGCCTACCTCAAAATAACCAACACTAAAACCCAGCTCACATTCATCTTTTTACACTTTTTTTTTAAAAAGATTTTCTTCATAGCCCCTAAGTACCAGGATTCAAACAACCTAGACAGCAGCCCCTGCCTGTCTCCTGGAAGTCTAGTCTTTTTGAATTGAAAATTACTGGGGTTGCTGGAGATACAGCTCAGTGGCACAGTGCCTACCTAGCAGGCACAAGGTCCTGAGTTTGATTCTTGGTCCCCTCAAAAAAAAGAAATTACTGGGGTAGAGTCTTTTGGACCAGTTTTCCCCATCGCCTCCCTGGTTTCCAGCCACTTTTTGCATTTCTTTGGAGACCATGTCTCAGCCCAGAGCAGGATGTTTGAGCAGAGCAGGTCATGAGGGACAGCCCGACAGGTTTCCTGCTTAGGTGTGTCTCTGTTGTCAGTAGCAGCCTCACAGTCCTCATAATGGCCCTGCCTAGCTGACTTTGGTGTCCATTTGCTGCTTTGCTCGGAACAACAGAAAAACTCTGGTGTGATCTGTAGTCTCTTTTACCTTAAAAGCCCAGCTCAACTATCACTTCCTTCTGGCTAAACATTATCTGCTATTCTCCAGCTTGTTCCTATGTGTCTCTATTACTTGGGTGTAATTGAGAGTGTCTCATCTATGTGTGTGAGTGTGTGTATGTGTGAGTGAGTGAGTGTGTATGTGTGTGTGTGTGTGTGTGTGTGTGTGTCTCACTGTGTAGTCCAGGCAGGCCTTGAACACAGAACCCTCATACCTCAGCCCCTGAGTGCTGGGATTTTGGACATGTGCCACCACACTGGCAAGAGCACCTCATGTTCTACCCCGCTAGCTCTGTCTCCAGTTATCTGGTGACTGGGAGGAAGTCCAGTTTCTGCCTGGACCTCATTGTATTCATACCTATTAAATGAAGATATTTCAGTAGACAAACTCCATCCAGCAGAAGCTTTGAGATGGGATCAATGAGACCACTGTTTAATTCCTGGCTCTCTTTCCTGCCTGCTGTGCAAACTTGAACAAATTACTCATCCTCCTTCTTTCCAGTTTTTCATTCCTTTTTCTCTAATTTCCTTATCTTACGGAACTGACCAGCACTAACAAATACAATGTTACAGTCATTTGCAAATAATGATTTGATTCTTGTTCTTCAATTTTTTTTTTTTTTTCCTTTTTGGTGCTGGAAATCAAACCCAAAACCTCATGCATGTGAAGCACATACTCTACCACTTACACCCCAGCAAAAATCATTATTCCTATTTTGCTATTCCTCATTGGCCAGAACCTTTTATATAATGTTAAATAAAAGCAGTGATGTCCAGGGGTGGTGGCTCATACCTGTAATCCCAGCACTCTGGGAGGCTGAGACAGGAGGATCACAAGAGTTCAAGCCCAGCCTGGGTACACAGTGACTTAGTAAGACCCTGTCTCAAAAAATAAAAAAGACCAGGGATATAACTCAGTGCAGAGGTTCAGGGTTCAATCCCCAGTACTACCACCAGCACCAAAAAAATGTAATAAATAGTGCCTCTGTCTTCATCTTGATTTTAAAGGCATACATTTGCTGTGGGATTTTAATTAATGCTCCTTATGACTTTGAGTAATAGCTTTACTAGGCCTGATCTGCTAAAAGGTTTTGAATCACTAAATGGATGTTTTATCTGTATAAATGATCCTCATGTTAGTTTTCTCCTTTAATTCATTAAAGGGAGTTCCCTTAGTTTTTGCTTTGTCTTCATATTGAAGTAGCTTTCTGTCCCTGAGTGCTGGCAGCCCCTCCAGCATCTGAGGCTGAGGGAGACCCTAGCAAGAGTGAGTGCTCAAGGTTTCCTGGGAGCAGCAATTTCCTGAAGTCCGCTGCTGTCAGCCAGGAGCTTTAGCAGACTGTGTCACATACAGCAGTCCTGACCTCTGTGTCCAAGCTGAGGGCGACTGGCCAACCTGGTGCGGGGCGTGTGTGTGACGATGAGACCACATACTGTCAGGACGCACAGCGTTTCCCGTTTGCAGATGCGTCTCATTATTGTGTATATGAGGGGAAGGAAGGCTGCACAGACAGCCCAGGCACACCTGGCACAGAGAGGCAGGAAGCAAGACGGCCTGTGAGTGTTCCAATCCCTGATGTCCATCCTGAAAGTCATTGCTTAGGAGCAAAGCGCGGGCCTCTGAAGACCCAGAAAACCTGTCGGGGAAAGCTGGAGACTCACTTCAGTTGTCTGACCTGGTGGACCTTGGAACTGTAGTTCATACAGGAGATAGCACTCACGTCTCTGAACCAGAGCTTCCCATTTCTTGTAAGTCATTCCAGCTGCAGGGGCTGGCTCTTGTGAAGGGAGGTAGCCATTGAGCAACATAGCAAGACCCTATCTCAAAAAACACTCTCTGTGGGGTGGAGACATAACTCAGTGGTAAAGTGTGTGTTTAGCATGCCTGAGGCCCTGGGTCCCCTAATTAAAATCCACAACGTCCCCTAATTAAAAAGAAAAAAAAAAGTAGCCAGTAGGGAAAAAGAAGCCCTTCTCCACTGTTGGTGTGTGAGCTGGTGCAACCACTATGGAAATCAGAGTGACAATTCCTCAAAACACTAAAACTAGAGATTCCATTTGACCCAGCTATTCCCCTTCTTGGTATCTTCCTGAAAGAATTAAAAGCATCATACCACAGTGATTTATGCACACCCATGTTTATAGTGGCACAGTTTATAATGGCTAGATCTTGGAAACAGCCCAGATGCCCATCAACCAATGGATGAATGGATAAAGATGATGTGGGGTTTTTATACAATGGAGTCCTACTCTGCAATAGAAAAGGATAAGCTTGAGACATTTCTAGGTAAATAGATGCATCTTGGGACCATACTCTTCAGTGAAATAAATCAGACACACGTGTGTAAGTACCACATGCTTTCTTTGGTGTGAGAAACCAAAAGTGTAAATAAGGACCAAAATGTATAATACATACTGTGAAATAGGGAAAAATGTTCAAATAGGAAGGCGAACAAGTGGGGAGGGGAAGGGGAAAGGGAGGCAGAGAAAAGAAAAAAAAAAAAAAAGAAAAAATGGAAGCAAAGCTCTTGTAAATAGGGAGGGAGAGAGGAGTTGAAGGGCGGGGAGGGGAATACGAAAAAAAGAATCAAGATCTATCACGTACACGTACAAATTCCCTGTGATGAATGCTATCATTATGTGTATCTAAAATGTACCAGTAAACTTCTTTTGAGACAGGGTCCCACTATATAGAGGCTGGCTTAAACTCACTATATAGCTCAGGCTGGCCTCAAACTGATGGCAACCCTCTGTCTCAGCCTCCTAAGTGCTGGGATTATGGGCATGAGCCACCATATCTGCCTCCCAATTTCTTTCTTTTCTTTTTTTTTTTTTTTTGTATTTTTGAGACAAGGTCTCACTACGCAGTTCAGGCTGGCCTTGAGCTCACTTTGTAGCCCAGGCTGGCCTCGAACTCGCAACGATCCTCCTGCCTCAGCCTCCTGAGTGCTGGGATTACAGACTTGCACCACCACACCTGGCTCTTGGCTCTCACTTTTTAATAAGTGAAAATTTTTAAAAGGTAGCTAGAGGGGCAACCCACTAGGGGGCCCTCCTTCTGTCCCTCTCTTGGACAGAAGCTTTCTTTCCCTCAATAAATATATTCTGCTCTTAAAAAAAAAAAAAAAAGGTAGCTAGATGTATCTTACAAATACCCTGGGGCAAAGTTTAGTAATTATATCTCAGTGTACCCCATGTGAGCCTGTCATTTTAATGATTCTACAGCTAATGACACTTCTTAAGGGCTTTTGTTTGGTTTTTTGAGGGGATTTTGGGAGTGGGGTTTGAGATAGGGCCTTGCTGTGTACTTCAGGCTGGCCTTGAACTCACTGTCACTCAGGCTGGCCTCAAAGTCACAGTGGGCTTCCTGCCTCAGCCTCCTGAGTGTTGGGATTCTTCTTCTTCGTCGTCTTCTTCTCCTCCCCCTCCTGCTCCTTCCCCCTCTTCCCCCTCCCCCTCCCTTTCCTCTCCCCCTCCTCTTCCTCTTCCTCCTCCTCCCTTTCCCTCTATCTCTCCTCCACCTCCTCTTCTTCCTCTCCTCCTCCCCCTCCTCCACCTTCTTCTTCTTATCTTTCTTTTTTTTGGTACCAAGACTCAAACTCAGGACCTTGCGCTTGCCAGGTAGGCACTTGTGCCTCTGAGCTATATCCCTGGCCTGCTGGGATTACTGATGTGGGCCACCATGCCTGGCAAGATTTGTTTTTTATTCCTCAAACTATTCAGACATCTCCAGGTCTAGATTTTTTCCTTTGTCAAGTGCAGATGGACTGGGATTCAGGCACATTCAGACACAAACACATTGCAAAGCCTCATATCTTTGATAAGGCCCCGTACACAGTAAACATTTCATCAGTCATCTTTGCCTTCTTTTCTCTCCGCAGGTCCCGAATCAGCAAAGTGGAGCTCTTCAGATCATTCCAGAAGCTGCGAAGCAGCATTGCAGAGGACAAGTGGCCAGACTCCCTCAGGTGACGCTGCTGCCCCGCGTTCCTTCCTATTAGGAAGACTTGCTTGGGCTCTGGTGTGTGAGTGGCAGGAAACCTTGGCAGGAGTGGTGGCTCGGTGAGGCAGTGGCCACTCGCTCCTGAACAAGTGCCGTCCTGTCCCCTTAGCCCTGCTTGGAGACAGCAGCAACCTTGGGAGTCTGTGTCTTGGTTTGCTGCAGGAGAACAGGGACCGTGAGATTGAGCTGAGTCATAGAGGGAAAGGTAGATCTTCACAGACTCAGCTCCAAACACAAAGTGGAAGGGACACTGACAGCTGAGGGGCAGGGTGTGGGGGTCAGTACGGAAGGTGGGAAGTCACTAGGCTGAAACAGTACAGCTGCACTGGTGGGATTCTTGTTGAAAGCAGGCCAGGGTGATGAGATATCAAGGTGAGGGTGAAAAATTTGACAATGTTCAAATACCAGCAGTGGGAGATTTTTTTCTTTTTTGACTAAACTGACTTAGCAGAATTCTTGCTGAAACTGGAATTAGAGGACCAAGAAGAGCGCCCAAGATCAAGGGCAAGGCAAAAATAAGACTCAGGGCTGGGGATATAACTCAGCAGCACATGCCTGCTTGGCAAGTGCAAGGTCATGAGTGCAATTCCCAGCACCAAAAAAAAAAAACTCAGTGGACCCTAGCTCAGTATGGACAAAGAGTCTTTGCAGAAGGTGATCTGATCTTTTATCTGGGTGTATTACAATGTTCCTCAGTGTGTCGACCATCCTGGGGTAGTCAGAGATGGCTGAAGGTTTGGGAAGGGTATTGACTGGCAGTGTAGAGGAGGAAAATATAGATAGGGTGGAAAGATCTTTGTTAGGACAAATGCAATGAGCATTTCTAATCTCTAGATGCTCTAGAGGAAGTTATAGACCAGTAGAAAACTTTAAACCAACAATGTAGTTGTTCTTGTTTTATATGATTTTATGAGGACCTTACAAAACTAGCATTTTCTTCATCCTTACCAGTTTAACCCATGCTGTGATCCTGTGAATTCTTTGCAAAGGATCAGAGCTGCTCCAGGAAAGCACAGTGAAACCCTTTGGTTCCTGGTCTTTCTTTGTGACCTGTCCAGTTGCTTGCTTGGGTGTCTTGCAGGCCCCAAAAGTGAGCAATTTGGTGAGAAATGTTGTGCTTTCTTTAGGGTGCAGAAGCTACACACCTACCAGGAGTATAAAAAGGCTGCCTCTGCTTATCAGGAGGCCTGGAGTACACTCCGGAAGCAGGCATTTGGATCCTGGATCAGAAACCCACCAGACTATCACCAGTTTGAATGAAAAGAAAAGCTTTTTAGAAGGCTTGCTAGTAGATAGCAGGACCTTCCGTTTTGAACTGCCTCTTCCTTTACCCTGGATGAGCCTTAGCTTTTCCAGTGGCTAAATCTGGAAACAGAAGACAGAAAAGGGCCTCCCAGAGCACTGTATCAATTGGTGTCGTATAGATGTGATCCAGGACACAGCAACCTGTACTTGATTGAAGAAGCTCACTGCTAAAAGAGCATCTCACAAACGACCTTGGTATCTGACTTCAGTCATGTTTTATTGTTTCTCTAAAATACAGATCAGAGTTTGGAACATGATGCTTTAAAAGCACTCTGCAGCACCTCTGATTTATGTGTTCCGTATTGATTCAGCAGATATTTATTGGACTCCAAAAATTTTGGGATCTCTGCAGACTCTACAGCTTCACCCAGCATCATGCACCTGAACAGTATTTTCGGGAGGCTGCGGGGAAGCACCAAGATAGCAGAATGGTAAGCAGCAGAGAAAGAGCCTCTCTGAGAGTTGCCATCCAGATGCTAGAATGTAGCAATGTGAGGAAGACAAAGAGGAGAGATGTCGGTCCCGTGGACCCAGGAAGGAACCAAGGCATGAATTGAAGCCCATGGAGTGAAGGGAGAAACTTCAGTGAAGAGGGAGGTAGCCAGAGGTGCCTTCTCCCTGAGAAGGGACTCACTGCACAAGAGGAGTGATTCAAACCTGCAGACACAAGGTGACTGCTGTTGACCCCAAGGGCCTCCACAGAGAGAGACAGCAGTGGAGGGGAGCAGTGGACATGAAAGACTGCACTAGCTGGTGGTGAGTGCTGCGGGCTCAGTCATCCCATGCAAGAGGGCACTTGTCTGGGAGCCATCTTGGAGAGGAGCCGACTGAGCTCAGAACTCAGAGCAGCTGCCAGTTCCATCTAACGGCCCAGCTGGGCACAGGCCCACAGAAGGTGCACTGACGGCTGCAGGCTCAGTGAGTCTAGTCTGGGCCAGAAGGTGCAGGCTTACTGAGATTATCCACTACCCTACCAAAAAGCTACTGCTGGCCTGCTGGCTTGCTGGGATAAATCAGCACAGATCAGGACTCTGTCTCTGCACATGGTCTACCAGTGACAACAGAGACAAACCTGGAAGTGGACTTTTTTTTTTTTCTCCCCCTCTCATTTTTTGTTGTTGTGGTTTTGGTTTTGGTTTTTTGTTTTTTTTTCCTTTTTTCTCTTTCATTGTTTGATCTTGTTTTTATATGAGTGTGAACATGGTTTCTAGCCTATTTGTGGTGGTTGTTCTGTTCTTTTTATCACTTACTTCTCTCTTTCCAAGTTACTGTGATCCTCCTCTGTCCTCCAGCCTTACTTCTAATCTCTTCCTCTTCTTCTCTCTATTTTCTCCCTAGCCCCTCTTAAATTTTAACCCCTGAGGGTAAAATTCACACAGTAAGAACTTGTATAATGCATAGAATTTTCTGGTCTGTTTTAAATTTTGTTATATAACTACAAATCTAGTACATATGGTTAAAGGTGGCAAATTAATGGTTACCACAGTTTGTCATTTTCTGGGCTGTGATTGTTGCTACTGTTATTGCTGATGGTACCACTTTAGCCAAAAGTGACATAATTTTTCTAAACAGCTATTCTTCCTGGCATTCCCAGACTGAGATTGGCTAAGGGTCATGAAGATAATTGGCATAGTGCCAAAGAACTAAGGGCTGGGCCAAACAGGCAGCAACTTTTCATCCCCCAAAAATTGAAGAGGTAGCATCTTTTTTGGGGGGAGTACCAGGAATTGAACTCAGGACCTTGTGTTTGCCATGCAGGTGCTTGTGCCACTGAGCCATATCCCCAGCCCAAAGAGGCAGCATCTTGCAACAGACTCAAAATCCAAAAACCAGTTACACCTGGATGATACCTTGGAGCAGTAGTCATTTCCTAAGGGTTCTAAATACTAGCAATAAAACAACCCACCATTTTGGAAATTTACAAACATCACCCCAGGAATTAAACTAAAAAAAAAGAAAAGAAAATGAGAAGACATTTAAACAAGATGAAACCCCAGACATCCAGTTCACCATAGGCAAACCCAGGGGGCAATGAGGTGGGCAATCCAAAAGCAACCCACCTAGCCTTTCTGAAGTGGTAAAAACAAAGCAATTGAATGAGGCTCTAGAAAAAATCAAATCAGAAATAATTTGTCAGATAACAGCAGAGATGTTGTCCGCAATGAAATTCATGCTCAGTGACTGTAGAGCAGATATACACAAAACAATAGAGGAGCTTAAGAAAATTATGGAAGCCATGAATGCTCAGCATAGGAAAGAAATGGAATCCATAAGGCAGATTCAAGCAGATATCTAGGAGAATAAAAAGGTCCATTGAAAGTATCTGCAGCAGATTAAGCCAATGTAAAGACAGAATCTCAGGGGGCTGGGGATTTAGCTCAGCGGCAAAAGCGTCTGCCTGGCAAGCGCAAGGTCGTGAGTTCGGTTCCCGGTACCGGAGGGAAAAAAAAAAAAAAGACAGACTCTCAGAAGAGTCTTGTGGTTAGCAATCATTAAAAGAAAGATTCCTTAAAAATGGCAAGGGACTGGTACCAGAAGAAAAAACAAACAAACAAACAAAAAAAAAAATGGCAAGAAACCATGAGAAATTAATCCAATAGCTGCTAGATGAAGCAAAGAAGAATAATTTAAGATTGATTGGAGTCAGTGAAAAAAGCAGGAGATAGCACAAATAAAATAAACTGTTCACAGAGGTAATGGCCAAAAACTTTCCATGGTAGAAAAAAAGCATTGGATATACACACAAGTGAGGCATATAGAATTCCAGTTAGCTACAATAAAAAAAATCTACAACAAGGCATATGATAGTCAAGATTCCACAAATTCAACGCAAGAAGAAATTTTAAAAGCTATTAGAGAAAAAAATAAATCATGAATAAAGGAAAGCCCATCAGAATCACAGCAGACTTCTCAACACACACCCTCAAGTGGAAGAGAGTTTGGAGTGAAGTATTTCAAGCCCCAAAAGAAAACAACCCTCAACCTAGTTTTTTTTTTTTCGTCTTTGTAAGACAGGGTCTCACTATGCAGTTCAGGCTGGCCTTGAGCTCACTTTGTAGCTCAGGCTGGTCTCAAACTCATGATGATCCTCCTACCTCAGCCTTCCAAGGGCTGGGATTATAGTCATGCACCACCATGCCTGGCATTCAACCCAGATTGATGTACCCTGCAAAACTATCTTTCAAAACTGATGTAGAATTAAGATATTTCCATGACAAAGAACATCAGAGGAAATTTATGACCACCAAACCAGCACTCCAAAGTGTTTTGAAGAACATTCTAGAAAAAGATGACAAGGATTACAACTCCATGAACCCCAACAGAAGGAATCCACCATGCAAGGCACACAATTAAATGGAGGGGGAAAAATGGGGACCCTATCACAGGAAAATAACTTGATAAGTCAATACATATCAGTTATAGCCATTAGTGTTAATGGTTGCAGTTCTCTAATCAAAAGACTCAAGACTGGCAGAATGGATCAAGAAGCAAGATCCCACAGTATGCTGTATACAAGAAATACATTTAATTCAAAAAGAAATTCATAGATTGAAAGTCAAAGGATGGAAAATAATACTCCATGTGATGGGGGAACCCAGAAAAAAACAGGAGTAGCTAGTCTAGTCACACAGTGAATTTCAAGCCAGACTGATTGAGAAATAAAGAAGGTCACTACATCCTTGTAAAGGAAACAATTCAAGAAGAAGAGATAACAATCATAAATAATATGCAACAAATACCTGTGCACCCAAGTATATACATTTTTTTATTTTTATTTTTTATTTTAAAGAGTAAAAGAAGGATAACATAATAGGGGGGGCTTACCAAGTTACAGACAAAGTGGTAGGAAATTATCAATGGTTATTGTTTTACATATTGTTATCTACAAGATAGTTTCTCAGGAAAACAAATAGACAAATAATAGTGAGTTACAGACAAA